TTTTCGAAAATTAGTTTTTAAGGAATGATACGATGTACAAGGTATAAAGAAACATAAGCTAAATAAAAAAAAATATGATCCTTAGAGGGTGTAGAAGTGCACTTTTCAAATTTTAACGAAATAAAGTAGGGTGCAAAAAAACAAAATTAGAAACATGAAATTTAGAATGCTGAGGATGCAGAAGTGCACTAAGACGACACTTTATGAAAATCTACATTTAACGCGTGTGAAGGTTTGCAACGTGTTTTCGTTATTTCTTTAAAAATCGATTCTGTAGTTTCGAGTTGGTTTGAGTTTTTTGATGTTTTTTATCAGCCCTATAACTCGCTTACGTTTAATCTTACAACAAAAATGCAAAGAATTATTTTTGTAGAAAATTTTGTAAGCTTTAATTTTGATAGGAAAGTAAAAATTGATAGGAGTAATCGTTTCTGATATATAAGCAAAAAAACAAAAAAAACACTTTTAACCCCTCCCTTTTTTCAAGCTCGCTCCCCACCCTCGGGGACTTTTAATATACATGGTGCGCCAGAACTCGCGCCCCAGAGAAAATTTTCAAGTAAGGTAAGTAAGATACCAGGAACATAAGTAATTGTTTAAAAAATTCTATCTGTCAAAAAAATTTGACATTTATTTTTTGACATTTGACATTTTTTATGTCTATTTAATGATACTGATGATCTTGTATATGTTTTTTTACAATTATTTAGTAAGGGCACAAAAATTTTGCCAATAAAAGCCACAAATAACATTGAACAGAGTTACAATTTAGGATACAGCTTCCTTGTTTCCTCTTTTAATAGCCTATACCAAAAAAACTTGAAAAATTATTTTTCCAACAGAAATAAATAGAGTCAGAGTGCAAACTTTAAATCTTCATAACTTCAAAATTTTTATAGATAATTTTTTTTAACATTTTTTCCATGTTCCTGGTATCTTACCTTATATGGCATTTTTCCCTGGGTGCGCGAGTTTTGGCGCACTCTGTATGTTTACCCAAGTGTAAAGAAAGCGTTTAAAAAAACTCCAACTTTCTAGAATTTTTTTCCACCGATCGCCTTATTTTGATTGGGCTATTTTTTCAAAAAATAAATAGATTAAGCAAAAAACGTTTGGTTCTATCCTTTCATAGAAAAGAAAAAATGTTCAAGTAAAATATAAATTGAAGCGAGTTTACTACTCATGTTGCGCATCTAAATAATCAAAAAAAGAACTAAATCAGAGCAAAAAAATTAGGCCTATTGCAACTATTATGGTAGCCGTAGTTGTTTATTCATCTTGGAGGTCTATAGTAGCAGGTGAAAAAACGCCCCGTTATTCACTTTTACGGTCCTTGTACGTGATCCGGCTCTGTCATAACATAAAAAACATTTCATTTTGTTCCCGTGTTTGTGATGCGATTTAGTCTAGAGCCAGCGTAAAGTGCGTTCAGTAGCAAGGTAACACTAGATCTCTGAGTGCCTCAAGCGACATGTTTGGAAAAGACAGGTCATCGTGAGCTACTTATTCTCTCAATATATCTTTCCTCGTCATGTTTTGCACACACTCATTCTTCAGAACGCAGCATCGGTCAACAAAAACCTGTCGCACTTAGCCGACAAAGTACACTGCAAACAAATGGGGCTCAAAGTGGATGATCTGATTAGTTTGGCAGAGTGCCAATACAAGGACATGCTGTATTTTATTATTCTGGCGGAGCTTTTCGATGGCGGATATAAAAAATTGCTTTGAATTTCTTTAACTGGGCAATAAAAGTGTATTTCGCCAGTCTAGTTAATATTACTCTATAAATTTGGCTCGCTTTTTTGTTTTAACCGATAATTGACGAAACAATGCAACCGATCTGTTGGGATTGATTTCGTCATCTGAATGTTCATTTTGCATTGTTCGAGGAGCTTTCATTAAGTTGCGAGGACAATCGCTGCAAAAGCACATGTTAAGCGGGCCCGGAATTCGGTTTATTTAGTCCGAAATTTCACAACGGTTGACCTGCTTTCAGGAGGTATAAAAAGTTTCCATTTACAGTTTGATGCTTTTGTGAATGCGACGAATATGAAAACACGGATCTAGATGTTACCTGAATCTATTTTTGACAGTTAATTCTGAATTTCCCGAAACGTTATGTCAACTGCGTCGTCGAACTAAATACTGGAAAACCATTTTCGAATTTCAATAGGGATTCATTAAAAAGAGTAAACAGATTTGCAAACGCCACATTTATTTTTTTATAAGAGTTGCTCAGGAGGGACAACATTTCCATCATTTATTAATTATTTGGGTAACATGTTTGGACAAGCGAAAGCTCTCCAATGCCAGGGCCCGGTTTTCAGACGCTACTCGTTACACTGAATGACAGAAAAAAGGCTTTCATAATAGATTGATGATCCATAAAAATAAGCTTATATCCAAATTGGTATTCGTCGACAAACTCATTAAAGTTTAATGGAAAGGAAGCTTTCCGCAAACGTCTTCCACTTTGCAATAGTTTATCTACCAAAATTTATTCAGAAATATTAGAATATGCTTCAATGATTTTTCTATATATACAAGGTGTCCCAGCGAGTTGAAAAAGTCCATTAGTGAGTGACCTTGTGGTAAAATTTAAAGAATTATATACGACATTTATAGATACTAATCTAGTCTATCGCCTAAAATTATTTTCAACTATACACCGTGTCTCAAAAATAAGTTACAATACAAACTTGTGTTTTGTAAATGAAACACCATTTGTTTTTTAGCGTTTTTGGATGCAGATTTTTATGACAATGTTTTTAAGTAAAACGTAAAGATGCTTTTTAAAAATTTAATACACAAAACTAAGACATCTAGAAAAAAAATTTACTACTGCAAAGAAGAAGCTACAAGCTATAAGGTTGGAACATTTTTTTAGTGCGTTGCATTTGCAAAGATAAAAAAATGAAAGCATTTGTTAAAAGTTCAATAATTTAACAAAATTTAATGGATCAGCCTATTTCTTGTTTTTGCATTTAAGAGATTATTAAATTGTCTTTCTAATATTATTTATTTTTAGGTGTTTATAATTAATAACTAAAAAGATATTTAACGTTAAACATTAAACAAAATAATTACTATTGTTTCAGTAGCCCAAAAGTGCAACATTTGTGTTAAACTGAATCTATTATTCTTTATTTTTACAATAAAATAATTCGAATTTTAGTATTTTAACGACTTTTACAATCTCTGGATAAATCAACGGATAAGTGATCAGTGGTGGAATTACTATGTCAACAATGCTCAGATATTGATAGGCATTGTTGGTACAATTAATATTGACTGTTAAATATTTTTTCATTTATCAGTTCTAAACATTACAACTTTATTTTTTTAGATAGACAATTTATCAATCTATTCGATGCAAAAATAAAAAATAGGGTGTTCCATTTAAATTTTTAAAGTTATTTGTCTTTTAGCAAACTTCTTAATTTATTAATCTTTACAAATGCAAAACACTAAAAAATTGCTACAGCTTTAAATTCTGACTTTCATTTTTGCAGGAGTTAGAAAAAATTTGTTCTAGCTGACTTAGTTTTTGTGTAATAAATTTTAAAAAAGTGCATGTTTTTGTCAAAAAAACGTTTTATTTCTAAAACTAAGCAAAATCGACTAATAAAAGTTTAGCGTAAAAACATTGTTTTAAAAGGCTACTTCCAAAAATGACTAGAAACATACCGTGTTTCATTTAAAAAAACACAAGTTTGTATCGTAACTTATTTTTGGGACATGCTGTATGGTTGAAAATAATTTTAGATGATGCACTAGATTAGTATCTTATCAACAATTTTTTTTTAATTTCATCATTTAAAGGTCACTGATGAACTTTTTCAACTCGCTGAGACACTATATAACTTAATTTTTCACCAATATCTCTTCAAATTTCTGACCGATTTGCTCCTAATCGTTTAGTAATTTATTTCCTAATTTAAATAATATCTACTAATGAAAACCGAAGCAACAATTCAGATGATATAACGGGTAGGTAATTTTTTAAATTTGGCGATAAAGCTATTCATAAAAGTTTGATTGTGAACAAACCTTTGTATTGAGAATTAATAATCTGACATTTCACATTTCGCCGGGGATATTAAAAATTGTGGTCCGTTTACAACACTGCCAACTATGACGCCAAATTTAAATAAACACCCGTTAGAATTCCTGCTGGGCGCATAATTGGAATGGTCGCAAACGCCTTCACATAACGCTGAAATGAAGTCATCAAGTCTGCTTTGCTGTCTTTTAAGATCACCACTTTCATACACATACCCTTAGATTGAAGAGAAGATTTAATTAAAAATGTCGACGTAAAGGCGTTAATTTTATTCAGTGACACAACTGAAAATGTATGGCATTGTGAGTGATAAACTAAAAGAAACGATAAAAAAATAAAAATTTCAAACGAGAGAGCCTCGAGCTATCTGTTTTTATACAGAAAATAAAATTTGAAAAGACGTCGTTTTGTGCTTAATTTTGCTAACAAGATATTGCCATGTTAATGTAATTTTTTCTTTTTCTTTACTTGGGTCAAAAATTTGTTGGTTTGACGAACAAAATTGTGTTTGTTTGTGGTACAAAAGACTCAATTAAGTTACATGTTCAAATAATAAGAAATTTATCTGGGTAATATCTCACGTTCGGCGAATTTCATTATAATTTTGTGCCTTCGATAACACCTGTTTCGTGCCGATAATATGGTTTACAAGCCTGAACTTTAGATTTTAAGCTTCATTATAGACAAACATTAAGATTTATGATTGGCTTTGAATTGCCAATGATTTACAACTTGTAAGTGTTAAGTAAAATTTTGGTGGAGGCGCCGGGACACAATCAATCTTTCAAGTATTTTTTTACTTCACATTACTGATATTGAAACTGTCTCATCAAAATAAAATATAAACGTTAAGTTTTAGTTTTCACAAGCAAAAGTTAGCTACAATTAGCTAATTGCTATTGAAAGTTTTAAACTCAACCTTTGTTTGTTTCAGTCAAACCTTCTGATGTTGTTTTGACCTACAACGGAAAAGAAGTCAACGAATCATTGAGTCTGGAAGAAAAAATTGAGGGTGATGATGTGGTACTGACTTGTAAAGCACCTGGCGGAAAACCCATTCCCACAGTGTCATGGTACAATGGAACACAGCTTATGAATAGAGGTAAGTGAAGTCAAATAAAAATTTGAAAGCGGTGTAATAAACCAATTTCCGGTCGGAAAAACCGCAACTTTAAATCGTGTGTCCCCTGTTTTAAAAGGTTAGATCGAAGGGAGATAACTGTCAGTTGGTTTTATGGTCATGGTCTTCCCGATTTTCCTTCTTCTCGAGCCAAGTTCCTCCTTATTTACAGTTTCTATTTCGCCACAATCACATTTCGCCACATTCTAGCTGGATATACGATTTTAAGATTATCCTTAATGGCACGAGATACAGAATCTGTAATAATATTTCAGCACTGAAATAAACAAAAGCACTTTTCAGCGATTACGGTTTTGCAAGCGCTTTCATTAACGTCACACTCTTTTACTGTTTTTAATCCATTAATTTAATCATGCAACGCTACTAAAGCTACATTAACTACCTGCAATGTTAATCGGATTAGGAGAATTTTTTTATTCGTTTTAAACTTTTCTCTTGTCGACGGTCCTACCGAAAATTTTCTTCATTAAGTAAAACTTTCGTTTTTAGTTTTTGCTTCGACTCTTCACGTGTTTTAATTAGTTTTTCCTGTCAAAGTTTGGACAAATTTTAACAAATGCGCCAAGTTTCGGCTGCTTAATGAATCCAGTTTTCCAAATTTAGACACATCAATAAAAATAATAAGAAACAGCTCCAGTTTTAATTTCGGAGAGTTCGTTGAATAAAACAAATGTAAATGATCACAAAAGTGATCACTTTTATGACTAAGGCTCGGATTATACAGGGTGATTCTTAAATAGACCGACAGAATTTTATCCTTGGTAGCATCAAATGAGAACATGCTGGAAAAAATATTTAAAAAATTCTTTGTTTAAACGTTCTCCAAATAAAATTTATTAAAGTTATTTTCGAAGTAAAGCGTACGCCACTGATGTGTTAGCACAGGTAGTGGAAACCATGGTATTAACGTGATGAAAATGTACTTGATCATTGCAACAATTCATAAACGCCGTAACTGGCACGGATCAAGGGGGTTTTGCCCCTAAAAGGTATAAAAGTAAAAAGGGTACAGTTTGTCTCCATTTATCCTTAGGAAGCTGTGATAAAATTTTGTCGGTCTATTTAAGAATCAT